GATGTAATGCTGGTAGTAGGCTAAAAGAATCATAAAAATTAAAAAAAAAATTATTTTTGATCATTATTAATAATAATATTTAATTTTAAGTAATATAACACTGAACAAAAGGCGTTACATTTGATATTTGACAATGTTATTTGAATGACTTGATTATTTTGATAATGTTACAACAACTAACTATTTAGTATTTTTTTTCTTTTGGGCAATGTGAACGCATGAGCTCAACCCCTTGAGATTTTTCACTTTGTTTTAAAGCAATTTGCTATATGTTCGAGCACAAAAAAGTTAAAAGGATAGTATATTTATTTTAAAGAAGGTTTATACATCGATTATGTAAATTGTTGGTTGATTTCATGCAGGGTAAGATGTATTAAATTGGAATTTTCTCATTAGTTGACATAATTTTGAATCACTACATGGGGCCGGCTACATAAATCCTTTTTCTCCATTGCGTCCTATTGAGTGTCATATTTTTGATTAATTCTAGTAAATTAGGATTATTTTTTATACAATATGCCAAAGTCTTTCTAGGTCTACCTTTGCCTATGCCAAAGTCTTTCTAGGTCTACCTTTGCCTTTCTTAACATAATTTGAATCTAAAACATCTACTCTTCTAGGGGTGTAAGCGAACCGAACACGAACGAACAAAGCTTGTGTTCGTGTTCGGTTCGTTTAAAATTTAGTTTGTTTGAAATAAGCTCGTGTTCGTTTCTTAACGAACGAACCGAACACGAGCTGTTCGCGAACGACTAGCCAATTTGACATCCCTAATATTAATATATAAAAATAATATTATATATTAATTATATAACTTATATTATATAAATATACAATATCTATATTAGTATATTACTACTATAGTATATTAATATATTACTATTATTATTTTATTATATATTATAATTTATAAAATTTGATGTTTTAAAATATAATAAATTTTTTATATATAATTATTTTATATTTGTTCGTGTTTGTCTCGTTTACTTATCGAACGAATCGAACACGAACTCATTGACGAACCGAACACGAACTGTTCGCGAACAACGAGCTTTTTTGACAGCCCTATACTCTTCTAGTTGGATCATCAGATGTTGACGTTTAATGTGATCAAACCATTTAAGGTGACTCTTTCTAATTTTGTCCGCCACTGGAGCTACACCAACCCTATCACAGATATATTCATTTCACATTTTATCTCTAAGTGTAAACCCACTCATCCACCTAATCATTCTTATCTCAACATATCTCAACAACCAACAACACTTAACTTAGTTTTATGCTTCTCTTTTAAAGGCCAACATTCACATCATAGAGCATTGTAGGGCTCACCATTATCTTATAAAATTTTCCTTTCAGTCTAGGTGATACTTTTCTATCGCACAATAGGCCTGCAACATTCCTCTAATTCAACCAATCAACTTGAATTCTACTAATAACATCCCTATATATATCACGATCACTTTGAACAATAAACCTGAGATATCTAAAGCGTTCACACCTTTTAATAAATTGATCACCCATAGTTAAAACTCTGTCACTAGAGCTACTACTACTATAATTACATTTCATGTAAGAAAGGCCTTTATACTCCAATGTAGACCTCCATAGTTCAAGTTTTTTTTGAGCTTTCTCTATAGTCTTATCCACGAGAAGGATATCATCAGCAAGAAGCATATACCAAGGTACATCCTTCTGTAAATTTATAGCGGGAGCATCCATAACTAAAGCAAAAGTAATGGGTTTAAAGCCAATCCCTGATGTAATATAACTGAAATAGGAAAATATTTGGTGAATCCTATTTCTCTTCAAACACAAGTTACAACTCTAGTATATATATCTTTAATGACTTGAATATAAGTCATCTCAATACCTTTCTTTTCAAGAACTCTCCAAAGGATTTCTCTTGAAACCTTTGGATTTCTCTTGAAACCTTTTCATAAGCTTTTTGTAAATCAATAAAATTCATATGTAGATCATCTTTATTCTCTCTGAACTTCTCTATCAAACCTCTCAATAAATGTATAGCTTCCATACTAGATCTGCCCAACATAAATCCAAATTGATTATGAGAAATCTTTGTAATATGCCCCAACATATGTTCAATTATCTTCTCCCATAATTTAAAGTATGGCACATCAACTTAATTCCTCTATAATTTTCACACTCTTGTGCATCCCCCTTTATTCTTAAAAATGGGGACCAAAATAGTCTTCCTTGACTCCTCAGGCATCTTTTTAGTTTTTAAAATAATCTTAAAGAGTTTCGTAAGCCAAGCGACTCCCAAATCTCCTATATATTTTCACACTTCAATTAGGATATCATCAGGTCTTACAGGCTTTCCACTTTTATTATTTTTTTAATGTCTCGTAAACTTCTTTTTTAAAAATGCGACGACAAAAATGAAACAACTTACTATTATTAACGATATTAAGATCACTAAGGTAGATCGTATTTTCAGCATAGGTGGGTGTGTTATTTTGATAAATTTTGTAATGAAGTTTTTTAAAATACGATCAATATAAGAGAAGCCTTGTCATTCTCTTACCTTCTCTTTTGTCGATCCACTCTGTGCAGGGTCTAGAGACTACTACACCTGCTCATATTGAGTGTGGGTTGATGTACGTGTCCCGTTAATCTTTATGAATGAGGAATATATGCTTATCCCGCATGCTTCGAACAAATAAGGTTGATGTCCTTCTACGGATATGGTTTAGCTCAAAGGCTAAACACTTTTAGGTAGACCATGGTTAACAACTCTCTCAACATAATATCCTAAGGTACTATGAGAAGTGCTTTGCTTCATTCACTCCCCTCTTCGATACATATTTGGCTAGGCTGATTCTCATCACCTTGTCACCCCGTATTGGTCAGGCAAGTTCAGCTAGTCGATCGATCCGTGCACGATCGCGATATTTGGATATCCAATGATACCATGATGTTGTATGCGGTGAGAACCGCTTTACTCGTTCTTACCACCATGTCTTGGATTGCTAGACCACTTTGCCCATCTAGCATATGTTGCCTCTCGAACCATACGAAGTTCTAGTTAGTTCTTTCATGAGGGTGTCTCGTCTCATGACAATTATTTGGCTCTGTAACCACCTGCTAAGGTGTTTCTCGAGCTATACGATCTTGGCGCTGGCTTTGTTATGAGGACATCTTGTTTTTTGACATTTATGCCATTTCAACCACTTATTGAGATAGCCCTCGAACTGTAATTCTAGGCAGTTCATTCATGAGACTGCAATGAATGACTTGGGTTACATGAGGTAATCCAACCTTTTACTCTTCTTATCTCTAAGGATGAATGTAAATCCTCGGTGTTTCTCCTTACCATAACAATTATTTAAGGCTTCATCACTTTTTTAGGATGATTCATGCCTTTGCGACCTTTGGACTTACCTTTTGGGTCAAGTATCTACGACCTCTGAACCTAGTTGTCAAGTCATGCATCTACAACTATGGACTCGTCTTTTGAGTCATGCCCCCGTGACCTCTGGACTCCCCTTCAACTCACTCCTTTACGACCCTTGAACCCTTTTTCTGAGTTGGATATAAGTCCCGTGCGCATTCCTTCCTGGTTGGCGTCTCTAGCTTTTGGCCCTTCAGCCATTCGACTCTGATGCTTCTCGAACCACACAACTTCTAGGTCGGTTCTTTCACGAGAGTGTCTCGTCGCTTAACATCCTTAGCTTTATTGCTTGGCTCCTTAGCCAACCGTCCTTACCTCTTGGATGGTGATGCAAACTCTTTGGATTTATCACAGACGTAGTGCAGGCGTTGAGATTACGCACCTTAGTCAGTTTGTAGGAGCGATCAAATTGTCTTGGCTCTCAGTCCTAACTGATCAATAAGAACTAGTGCTCATGTGCGATGTAAGTCTATCGGCATTATCTAGTCAACATGTTACCACTTATTGAGCGATATAAGGCCCTATGAAATTCCTCATTAAAGTAGTAGACGACTCCCTAGCCAACCTACCTACCTTTCGAAGAGCGTTGTAAGGCCTTACGATAGTCTTAATTGATGTTGTGCAGGCGTTTGAGGTTTTAGTACCTTGATTACTCTGTGGTCATGCCTTTATGGCCCCCAGATCTCCTGAACGAATTCCTTGGTCATGAATCTACAACCTCTGGACTTACCCTGCGTGGTCATGCCTTAGGTCATGCCTCAACGGCCCCAGAACCCATTCCTTGGCCATGCCTCTATGGCCCCTAGACCACTATGTTGGGTCATGCTTCTAAGGCCCTAGACCTACCTTCCGTGGTCAAGCCCCTACGACCTCTGGACCACCCCTGTGGCTCATGCTTTTACGACCTCTGAATCCACCTTTTTGGGTTGGATGTAAGCCTCGTGGGATTCCTTCTCACCCCTACGGTTAAATATGACTCCCAGCGTTTTTCTTCCTAGGAAACTTAGCTCTTTATGGTCACTTGGTTTGTTGGTTGTACAACTAATTTAGGCTTGATCAAAAATTGAGTTGCTTCCATTAAGTGCAATATGTCTTAACGATGCATCACACTTGTTGGGGGTTCTTTGTTGGCATCAATTTTTAATATCGCGAGTGTAGGATGTCCGTTTGAGACTATTAAACCTTGTTTGATGCATGTACTGATTTCGCTAGTGCAAGACATGCATTTAAGACCCTCCGACGTGTGTTGAGGTTCATGTTGTAAGGATTGTTCTGCTAAACTTTGGTCGTCCCTTAGGCAAAGACCGATGAATATTTTGTTTATCAGAAGACTCTAATTGGATCAATAGGTCTTGATCGTCACGTCGCGCTCGAATCGTGCTCAAATTAGCTTATTTGTTGGTGAATTTGTCCATCTTGGATCGCAAAACGGAGTGCTCGAGCATATTTGGAGCATCGATTTACCTAGATAGGATACTTATTTCAATATGATTTAGTGCATGAGCAAGCAACATGCAAATCAAGGCTTTTAAATAAAAAATATATATGTAAAAGCTTTAAAAACTCTTGCAGCGCACTCCAACCCCAATCATTCGCATTCCCTACCCCCATTTTTTTCCTCGAAGGCTTTCACGTGAGCAGCAGGTCTCACCCCCGCCTTCGCTAGTTCGACTCGAGGTCCCAATCTCGAGCTTTCTCTCGGCTTCCACTGGCGACGCTTCTCCCATCGACTAGCCGCCCCCGTCGGCGCTCACTTTCGCGTCCGACCTTAGGCCCTCATGATCTCGCTCGCACGAGGAACCTAGGGCACTTTGCCTCTTCGCTCTTCGGCTCGTGGTTTCGTCGTACCCTACTATAGCCGGTGGCCCAAGCCGCCCGACCTCTTCACTCCCGCGACGCCAATAAAGCTCGCTTACTGCTTTTTTTTCCCTCACATCACTTAGAAAAGAGGCACCACCCCTTCTATCACTCAGTCCGTGGTTTTGCGGCGTCTCCCTTGCCGACGACTCCCCCACCTCGCCGGAACCTCCTTCCTTGTCTCCTTTTGGCTGGAAGCCTCACCAGAGCTCCTCCCCATCGGCGGGCCGTGACATCATCACTTTGTAAAATGCCATGAACTACTTCTCTCCTGCGTTAGGAGAGCTTCATCCGAAGCACCTGTGGGACTTCCATCGACCTTCGCAATGGTATAACATCCTCGACACTTGCATTTTCTTTTTTAGCTAGTCCATGGTTAGTTTAGGATAGGCATTGTGGGTCCGGTAGCCCACTCGGGGTGAGTTGGCCGGTCGACACTAGTCTGCGCGTCATATTCCCTTGGATTGACCATTGGTTTCCTAGATAAAACTCTAGGTTAGGAATTACATGTGTGGCCAAATACTTTGCGGAGCCGAGCGGTTTCCTGTTGCGAACCCTATAACTAAATCCCAACGGGTTGAAATCCCAATTTTTTATTGTATTGGCTTTCCCCAATCTTCCGTGGAGTGGTTGTGATGTTTGGATTTTGCAGTGTGAGAAAACTTTGTAGCTAGCTCACTTCTCAAAATCAGGAGTTGTGAAATGGGAAAAACTTTGTAGTTAATCCATTCCACAATATCGTGGAGAGTTTTCTTTTTGGAGACCCAAAGGTGAAACTACCCACACGCCTTGCCAACGTAGGAGTTGGCTATGCTGCACATACAAGTACTAAACCTTAGGTGCCCAATTGAGGATGTTAGCACAAGTGTGGCTTGTTATCGATTATGATTGTTTGCTTCGAATTGTGTCATGTGTTTGGGTTGGAGTATGTCGCACTTGCACCTTGCCTCGATCGGCTGCCTCGGGCTGGGCGACATGACACATTGGTCTGACCGGCCGCCTCAGCCCGTTTGATCAATTACTTGGTCTGACCGGCCGCCTCCACACAATTGACATAGCACTTTGAGTTTGACTGGCTCGATCAACTAACCACTTTGGTCCGTCCGACCGCCCCAGCCTGGTAAAGCAATCACTTAGGTCCTACCTTCCGCCCCCATCGGGCTGACCAACCACTTAGGTTTGACTGGCTGCTCCGAACTTGTCGACTGATCACTTGGTTTGACTGGCTGCCCTGGTCGGGTCGACCCATCACTTGCATAGTATATGTTTCACATGTGCATTAGTATCTGATTGCTTGCTTGCATGGTGCACTATACCCTGTATGTGTTTGTCATTTGCATGTGTGTCTGGTTGTTATTAGGACAAGGTGTAATTCTCCACAGAGGCATCCTATACCTTAGGCGACCGAACACAATACCTCTTGTGCTATATGTTTTGTATGACATCTTGCATAATCTTTATCACATGCTTGAGTTGTATTTTGAGTCTTCATTCATTCACACCCCACTTGTATGATTCTCCCCAGTGAGGATCATCATTCCTTAGGGCCGCTTCCTCCACGACACGCCCGCTGCCTCCACAACATCCATTTCTTTGGACCGTCGCCTCCACGACACGCCCACCCTTCCAGGTCATTGCCTCCACGACACCCATTCATTGGGCTGCTGCCTCCACGACACGCCCACCCTTTGGGGTCACTACCTCCACGGCACATCTATCATTCGAGCCGCTGCCTCCACGACACTCCCACCCTTTTAAGTCATTGCTTCTATGACACTTATCTTCCTGAGTTACTATCTCCGCGACATACTTATCAGTTTGATAGATATAAGTCTCACCTCGTAGAGCTCCACTTGATAGTCATAATATAAAGTTCCTTTATTTGACCTCAGGGTTATCAAGGTCCCTGCGGACGACACAATTCACGAATTGCTGATCGGGGATTTCTGGACATGTTGGCTCGACAACCGTCCCAATTAGGTGAACTTAGGGTCCTAGTAGCTTGAGATGACAAATTCGTGGTACCTTGACCCGACTGCCTCTACTTTGTAGGGATTACTCTCCTCTTCTTTTGACTACTCGCGTTGAACCTTGTCGTTTCTATTGTCTTTGTTGGTATCATCTTGACTGCTTGATTGCGGATGAATTGTCGCCCGTTTGGAATACGATGATTTGTCCTCTGCCCTTATTACCCGGATATGCTTTGACGTATCGAGATTCTCCGTCGGGATGATTTAATTATTTCACAGGTTCTATATGCTGATAAGTTCGTTGCCCATGTAGAAACCGCAATAGACTCAATCTCCGCCCCATGGCTTAGCGAGAGCATTGAAAGCATCAGAGCATTTCCTTCCGAGATAATCGCCCTTTGATAGTCCTATGTTAGTCGTCACTACTAATGTAAGCAAAACTCCCCGGATCAAGAGTATTCTTGGACAACACCCAAGACGTAATTAACCAAGTGAGATATGTCCCATTGGGAGCACTCTAGATCCCAAAACAGGCAAACACACCTGAATTTATGGCTGTGGGTAGTCTATGTAAGTATTCTTTAGCGGATATTGGTCGAAGGTGCTTCCAGCTGATCTTATTTGGGCGGATATACTAAATCTATCTTTGCGAGGTTTATCGCACGTAGACTCTCGATGTTCTTTCATGTTTTTGTCGTATGTCTATTTTTTCGGGTTCCTCTATTTTTCTGATAATTTTTATGATATGGAAGAGAGATTTATTCGGAAAAAAAGAAGCATATGAAAATGGACAAACTGATGACTTCTTAAAAAAAAGAGAGAGAATGAAACAAAAACAGATATGCATATACATAATAACTTTTGGAATATTTTTGTGGACTTTTGCATGAAGAACTTAGTCTAGCCAAAATTGTAATTCATGAGTAACCAGAACATAATTCTACTATTTGTAAATGGATGGTGGGACTTTATAACTATTTGTAGATGAGTAGACACATTAAGGTTTTAAATAATTGAATTTTATACATTGTGTTGCATAAAATCTTGATTTAGATTATCTGACCCGGGTTTTTTTGTTATTATTGAATAAGAAGATGTAGTCTGTCCATCCTTGAATTATTGATATAGATAACTTGTTTCTTATATGAATTTGTAGATATTATCTGACAGTATGATTCTTCTCTGTTTCTTTGTAAATCAAATTATGTGCTTATTATAATCATTTATTTCCTGCACTCCTTGTTAATTTATGTGCTTGATTGTTTGCCAAATGAAATAATCTTTAACATATATTTACATGTTGTTATATAATAAAAAGGAACATTTGATCTATTGATAAATAATCTGAATTATTTTTCTCCTTATTTGACAGCCAGTATAAATTGTAATAAAAGAACTATGAACACGAGGGCCTTCTCAGCATTTAACCTCTAAAAAAACATTGAATTATCTAGAGTTTGAGTGAGAATAAGGATGGTAGAATATGAAGCGGAGAATATCAAGAAGAAGAAAAGGAAGGAGAAAAATTGGATAGAAGATACCATTAGGAACTCAAATAATTTTTTGGAGGGGAATCATAAAGAAAATAACAAAAAGAAGAGCAAAAAGGAGGAGCACAAGTGGAAGGAGATACCAACGGTCAGTATTGCAGTAATAGGCTCCATCATTGACAACACCCAGTCGCAAGAGCTTGCCACTCTCGTAAATCATTTTAAATCCCAAAAAGCTCATACAAATGTAATCTTTCATACTCCTAGAAACCCCCTCTTCCTTTTCCTAATTTTATTTTTTTCTTTCACTCTCTTTTTTAGCTAGCAGGTCAGATTGCTCGAGCTGCCACCATATTCCATGTCGATGAGGTCGAATTTTAGTTTTTTTCCCTTTAATTAATTTTTGTAATGGATTTCTTTTGTATTGCTCTGATAATATGTATTTTTGATTTTATTTAAAAAAATACTTTGATCCACAGATAGTGGTAGTTGATAGTAAGTCCATGGTGAATAATAGTGATGAAAATGAGACTGGTGCACAGTTTCTTGTAAGAATTTTGCAGTATTTGGAGACACCTCAATATCTGCGACGTCGGCTCTTCCCTATGCACAATAGTTTAAAGCATGTGGTGAGTTTTTTTTTTTTCTGAAAATTTATTTTTTAATATCTAGTAACTGGTGAGGAGTATCACAGACTTGGGTGTAAATTTTTTGTTTTATTTATTCATTTCAGGGTTTGCTTCCCCCTCTTGATGCTCCTCATCATGTCCGCAAGCATGAATGGTCCCCATTTCGAGAAGGTGATCTATTCTTTGTACCTTTCTATTTTACTTTCTTTAGGTATATGGAAGTGCCAAGGGGTTTTGGGGAGGTGTTGGTGTGGGGGGTGGGGAGGTATTGGTGTTTGTCACAGTGTAACAAGGCTTGGATGGAGAATGATAGAATGATAGAACAAGCATTTACTCTGTTTCTTCTTTTTGATGGATTGGCATGATATAATCCAAAGCTGTAAAGATGCAGTAATACAAGCATGAAACACATCAGACAATTGTGGATTAACTTAATTGACTCTCTCATGATTCTGGAATGATGACATTTCCTAAACGCTTCTCTGGATTCAGTAATACCCGATGCTTGGTAGTTTTATAAGTAGAAAGGTTTCACAGCAATCTATTTATCTTCACTCTTCAGTTAGTAGAATAGCTGCAATAGGATGATTTCCATTTTCTTTCAAACTAGTCTGGTTAATTGCTTAAGCTTATCATTTATATTCTTGCTTAAAGCATTCAAAAACTGTTCAGCTATCTTAGATACTGCAGAAGTAAAACAATTTTTTAGTATTGGATGCAGGAAGTCTTTTTTGTTGTCTTCTTCAGAAATTTTATCCCTTGGAATTCTTCAACTTCTAGAATGTCATTTTGTTAGCTGCTTTTGAATTTTAATCCCTTAAAATTCTCCAACTTCTTGATATTTTAGGCTTCCTGATTAACCCTTCATGAGGATCACACCTTCATGAGGATCACACGAGTCTTTTCTTGAGTTTTTTAGTACATAATCTCTGCCTGTAACCTGGCGGTTATTATTATTATTATTTTTGAAAGCTAGCTAGTTATATTTTTTTTGCCTCTTATGACATTTTGTCTCCCTTATTGGAGCAGATAGATGCAGAAAGCTGGGAAGAAGATCTAGGGATTTAATCCTCTTTGTTCTAAAAAGAGAAACTTTTAAGTTAAAAAAAAAAGAAGGAAGAAATGGCATTTGCTTGGTTTAGAATAGTTAATAGATATGGCTCTTCACTTTTTTATTTTTGCTTTGCAAGGATGATATCATGCCTCCGAACGTTGGACTGGATCATGGTTCTTAGAGTAGGAATTGAATTAGTCGATTTGGCAACTATGGCTTGGGTGTAATAATTTTTTGTTTTCATGAAATAAGGGATTATGTTGGGTGCTCCACTGATTTAGGAAACTAACATCAAAAAGATTGGGTGTTTGAACAAACTTGGGTTTACTGGTACACATTTGAGTCAGTTGCTTACATGATACGTTGTTTATCGAATGCATATGATGATCTCATAAAAATCTTTTCGAATGTGTAACATTATTACAGGTGTAACATTGGAAGTGAATTCTTCAGGTCCAGGGGGAACATTAGTTGATGTTGGTTTACGGAAGGTAGGTTTTGTATATTTCTACACCCTGTTTATTTATTTATTTAATTACTTGAAAAGATGTGCTCTTTTCAATATAGTTTAATCTAGAAGATTATAATCGATTGTTAAACACATTCATAACTCTTTTTTATCATGTGCTCATACTTTTGGCTATATATTTTTTGGAACCATGCTTTTCTATGTGCAACTTGAGGTTTGTTGTTGCCTGATCAGTCAATAAGCCAAAATCAAGTTTATTAAAAGTCAAATTTAAGCTCAACTACAAACTCAATGGAGCTCCATTTAATGCTAGTTTTTTCATGCAGATGTAAAAGGGATTGGGTCTCACTTTTAGAAGTGAGTTCAATTGTTTGTTCTGCTGAAAGTTTATCATCTGATCTACTAAGCACATAACAACTAAACTCAATTGTTTATGTCTTTGTAATCTCTGGTGATGAGTCCGTCGATGCCCAACTTCAATCACTCAGCCAAAATAGGTGAATTTGTCTCTTCACTTTGCTTGAGCAAGGTTATAGTTCTTCTGGTATTAGGCACATATATCACTTTGAGGGTTGCTTGGCGCCTTCCATAACACCATTTGAGAGTTTAGGAAAATTAAAGATTGGAAAAAGTTGAGGATCGACGTGTTGTTGACCTTATCAAATTGATCTTGGAAGAACATGCGTTGCACAAGTTCAATGACAATTTAAGAACTAAAAATTGAACTCTTGTTTCAATTTTTTTTTTTGAGAATGATGAGGACCTTGCACTAGCGCTAGCAGCTTAGAAAAACATTATGTTTTGATTTAGTAAGTCCCTTTTATCTATCCACAGAGAACTGAGCTTGAGTTGCTGTTGAATTAGATTTTATGGTTGGGCTCAATTACTAGAGACCATCACCGATAATTTGAATTTAGTTAAAAATATTATGGAGCTCTTTTGTTGCAAGTTTTAGTTTGGATTTAACCTTCATTTGTGCTAAATCTTGCTAAACCAATGGGTTAGCTGAATGCATGATTTGATGGAATTTCTTAAATCCAGCCATTAGTGTGAATTTAATAAATATAGCTCAGATCTAGAAATTAAGGATTTACTTTTAGTTGTGGCTAACATTTATCAATTGTGCTAAATTAGTTAATATTTTCTAAGGTTGATGAATTTAGTAACTAGATTATCTCTATAAGGTGTATGGTTAAGTCCATTTAATCTATAATTAGTACAATTTAAACATTCAATAGCCTTATTTACGTGTATTAAGTTTAAACTTCTCATCAACATATCTATACCCCAATCATTATTCGAATTAATCACTAACTACTCTGGCTAATTAATATTTTAATAAAGTATTATGCATTCTAGTAGCCTAATTGAAGTCTAAGTTAACCCTAATTAGTCTATTTAAAACTATTAATTTGTTTATCATAATTAAATGGTATTTTGGCGAGTAAATAGTTAGTTTTTAGCGCCTCTGACTAATTAATCATTTAACTAATTTTAACATCTAATTATTATTAAACAAGAAATATTATAATCTTAATTATCTAGATTAAACACTAATAAATTCTTAATCCATTTAAGCAAATAGTTATTTAAATATCATTACGAGTAGTTAACTAATTAAAGGATTAACATATGCTTAATTATCTTGATTGAAAATCATATTTAAATAGGAGTGCTCTTATTTAAAAGTTTAATATTTTTTAGTAGCTGTTGACCTCATTTTTAGTGAGGTTTAGTCTTTCTCGTAGGATTTAGGATCTAGTCTTAGGGGTCTCCCTTTGACTATCTTAGAACCTTAGAAATGGGACCCACCTCATTTTAGAAATTTAACCCACTTTTGTCCCCTTCTGGAGTTTCACGTGTGTGGTATCGACTTCTAACACGTAGAAAGATGAAACCAACATGAGGAAACCCAAAAGGGATTCCTTATAGTACCTTCCTGAGCCTTAGGGTGCCTTTTGCACAATTCGCACTCCCGCGCGCACAAACTTCGCAATTCGGAGAGTCGACACGTCCGATCGCCACGATTCACATCGTTTGCATTGTTACCTGTCGAATGCTCAAGTAAACCTTTTGAAGATCTATCGCAGGTCGAAATTTTGTGAAATTTGAATTTTGGCGCGTTTTGACCCGATTGTCGATGACGTCGTCCGAGCGACCCTGGATGACGAAACGGACAGATGACAAAACGGACTGCACTGGCACGTCCGGAGCGTCGATTTTGCCTAGCGAGGACACCCACTTTGTTACGACGTCGCGCGCGAGTAAATCGCATATGATTTCAGCAACCGACACCTTCATATTGTTTGAGTTTTTAGCGCCGACAGGCAGCTTAGAAAAGTATTTAAAAATTTTCATGTTAGAAAATTATACTAGAAATATCTATTCATTTTGATAATGTTGATCGAGCTCTGCTTCCTTTTTCCTCTCCCGTTCACGTGCCTGACCCTTTCCCTTTCTCGGTCTTGAGCCGACCGAGCTCTTCCTCCCACACGCGAGAGAAGGTTGACCTCGTTCGTCCTTGCCTGACGTTCTTCTGCTCGCGGCTCTCCTTCTCGAAGCCGTGCCAGCCCCCTTCGGCTGTGCTGATTTTTTCCTTTTTCTGGTAGTTTGACTCTGGGAAGCTTGTTTCCTAGTACACTTGAACGACAATTTCTTCTCTTCTTCCCGATGCTTCCCTTGCTGCCACTGGGCTGACCGCTCGGTCCGAGAGGTTTCGGTGGATTTTTCGGTGGCTTCGCCTTCTGTGAGCATGGAGGGTGTCCTTTTCTTTTTTAGCCCGATTCGAGTGTCGTGGGTCGATGGTGTGATCTCTTTTCTCTTCTCCTCTCTTCTCTGCCTATAAACATAGTTCATTTTGAATTTTTAAAGGTGGTTGAGAAAAAGGTCTTCTAAGAGGAGAGTAAAAAATTTTGACTGTGAGAAGATTGGAAGGGGAATTTTCTGTGAGAGCATTGCTTTGAGGTGAATTCTTGTGTTGCAGTGCTTTTACTTTGGCATTAAAGAGGAACACCTTCCCCCCTCTTCTTCGGTGCCCTGTTTCCTTTCGATTTTCCTCTTTGGCGAGCCTTTAAGCTTGGCTCTGTTGGATAATACAGCATGCTAGTTCTCTTTGCTTTCATATATTTCGAAGCATTCACTCTAAAAGCATGTGAAGGATGAAATGTGAGCATGTTTTAGGATTTAGATTTGAATTTTTGCTTAAAGTGGTGGAGATATGGCATGTTCTTTATTTATCCTATCATATTTATGTTGGTAGCGATTTGGATAATTTAAGCATGGTTTTTGGAATAATTTCTACTCTTGCAAGCATGTTGGGATGTATATTGTTAAACTTTCCGCTTATCTTTCGTTTAGCATGAGATATTGAAGAATTTATTGGGGCTTTCATGCATGCTAGGGAGGTTTCGGCTTTGGCATCTTAAGACTTGCTCTTGCTTAAAAATGAATGCTAGGGAGTTCATTTTATTTTTTTTATACATGTGTGGGGTTCGGTTTAGCTTCTCATGAGGTATCATCCCTGTTCAAATATCCGTTGGAATTATTTCATGCTTGAAATATTTAGATATGCAGGTGATTCCTCGGTTTGGAGGCTTGGTCTTGGCTTGAAATGGCTAGAACTTTATTTTTTTTAATGAAAGCTTGAAGTTTCATATTGCTGGGCTTGGTTTTAATCTTGTTGGGCTCGGTTTTGGCTTTCGGTTTCTGTTGACCTCGGTTTTGGCTTGACTTGGGAGCTTGGTTTGCTTGTTTTAGCTCCTACACCTGAGCCCATGATTGAGTCTTTAAAACTCGACTTTACTCGAGAGTCTTGATGATTTGCTTTGCTTGTCTTTGGTCCCTACCCGAGAGGTGGCTTTGCTGATTTTAATCCCTACCCGAGAGATGGCTTGGTTCTTTTTGATTCTTGTTGGTTTCAACTCTTACCTGAGAACCTGTTTTGGATGTGCTGTGTTGTCTACATTCGAAGGCTGATATTTGGTTTTGATGGATTGATTTGGCAGTTTATGAGGCCGCCATGTGATGTTTGGTTGGTGCCTAGCCGTGGGTTTGTGATGTGATTGAATCAGCCTCCCCTTTTGGTCCTTACCCGCGAGGCCTATTGTAGGTCATTGGGTGTGATTTGGTCCTCCTTGCTAAGCTTGATTGACTTGAATGTTGTGGATGAATCAAGTTTTCCATCTCAAAAAAATTATAATTATTTCAGTTATCTTTTCGTGTTTGTCAGGAAAGCATAGTTGTCTTTGGTGGTCCTTTTGTTTGCTTTAGCCGTGAGCCCCTTTGTGTTTTGGGTGGCTGTAGTCGTGGGCCTTACTTGTGCTTTGGATGGCCTTTGGTCGTGGGCTTTTGCAGCTGCTCTTTGCTGCCTTAAACCGTGAGCTTTATTAGTTCTTTTCGGGCCTCTTTGTTGCCTTAACAGTAAGCCTTACTGGTTGTCTTTTAGGCTGCCTTTGGTTATGCGTCTTGGTAGCTGTTCCTCGCTCTAGCCGTGAACCCCTTTTGTCCCCGTTCCTGGCTTTGGCCGAGAGCCTTGTTGGTTGTTTCCTCTTATCTGCTGACCCTGGCCGTGAGCATTTATGTGGTTTTATGGGCAAATTTTGTGCTTATTTAATGCATGAGGTTATCTACTAATTTGAAAGTCGGAGAATTTTGATTTCGACATAAGTTTGGAAATATTAATGGTGGTTTTCCCGAGGTTACTTTCTTTTGAAGTTTGGGAGATTTTAAAACTCATTTGGAAAAAGCACTTGGTGGACTTGATCAATCTTATGTCTTTGGGGTTTGGGAAAATTAGCACGAGCTTGCCCTTTATGTTTGTCAGGAAAGACCTTGGGCCCTACTTTTCCAGGTCTTTTCGATACGAGTTTTGAGAACTGATCCAATCTCCTTTTCGGTGTTTTAGATGGATC